CACATCCTCCAGAGCCGACTCATAGGGCCCCTTGCTGTCGGAGTCTGTTGGCAGCTCCAACGGCTCCTGCTGGGCCACAACATATATCTATGCCTATTGTCTCACTTATCTATCTTCTAGCTGACTGTCTCTATCATTTATTATCTAACTTTATCTCTCTGTCCATATCATGTCTATTATCTGTCATTTAACTTTTATCTATCATCTAGGTCTGTCTGTCTGTCTGTCTGTCTGTCTATGTGCCTCTATGTGCCTCATCTATCTGTTGTTTAACTAACATCTCTTAGATGATAGATAAAAGATCTGTTATCTACCAGTCTCTGTAACCTATTCTCTATCTAGCTATATCTCTATTATCTCTCTATTTAACTTTTATCATCTCTCTTTGTCTCACCTCTATTATCTGTCTGTCTGCCTAATCTATCTATTGTTTAACTTACCTATCTGTTTCATCTCCATTATCTAACTTAGATGATAGATAAAAGATAGATAAGATTATCTGTCTCTATCTATCGTATATCTAGCTTTATCTCTATTATCTCTCTATTATTTAGCTTTTATCATCTCTCTCTGTTTATGTCTCATCTCTGTCATTTCTATCTATCCATCCACCCATCCATGTAATTTAGAAACTGCCCACCTCCCTCACCGTGAGTTTTAATTAAGTTTAGACTTAGCTTTGTTGAGTAGGAAGCAGATTCTCCACAATGTGCAATTTGGTCTTCACGCGTTTCTCTTTTCCTGTGTTTCTCTTCCAGCTGGATCTGCGTGGCAAGCTCTACTTGGCCCCTCTGACCACGGTAAGGAGGTGTGGAAGTTTGCCAGCACAAACGCTAGAAAGCTCGGGGTGTGAGCTCAGGTTGACGTGTTTATGGGGAAGCCGAGAGAGAGGAGGAAGCAGGAGTCCCAAAGGTGTTTTTTTTCCCCCAAGAAGCAACTGGACTTTCTGGTTGTTTCTTTGAAGATGTTTCGCCTCTCTCTCCCAAAAAGCTTCTTCAGCTCTGACTGGATGGCGGGGAAGGGAAGGATTTGCAGACAAAGCTGGTCATTTGCATCCTTTTTAGAGAGTCGTTGAGGCCACCTGGAGATTTACCTGTGTCCTCGGGGTCACCTGAGTGGTGCAGATAGAGGTGGAGCCTTCTTGGAATTGCTGACGACATCCTCTATCTCCGGTTTACAACACAGTCCATTCAGCAGTTCCAGGGTAACCTAGAGGACACAGCTAAACCTCCAAGTGGCCTCAACAACTCCCTCGAAGGATGCAAATGACCAGCCTAATTAATTAAACCATATTTAAGTCACTCTCTCAGCTTTATTGATATCCATGATGTGAATCCCTCCTGGGTCGCCTTAACCTCCCTCCCTCTGCCTTTCCGTCTCAGTGCGGCAACCTTCCCTTCCGTCGGGTGTGCAAAGGCTACGGGGCGGACGTCACCTGCGGAGAGATGGCGGTGTGCACCAACCTCCTTCAGGGACAGTCTTCCGAATGGGCGTTGCTAAAGCGCCACGAGACCGAGGATCTCTTTGGGGTTCAGGTATCTTCCTGGCACAGGATGGGGACTGGAGGGGGTGGGGGTGGCGAGAAAGAGCATTGGCTCAGGTTGAAGCTCAACCTGCTTCTGGCAGAAGACGCCTTAACCCTGAAAAAGGGAGAGCAGCAGAAACGGAGGCTTCCCTTGGAGACGGTTGCAGGAATTGGGTCTGGTCTATTTTGATAACAAGAAGGACATGGGGGGGGGAGCGGGGGAGAGCTGACTGCTAGGATCTCCTGCTTGAGCTGGCGGTTGGACTAGAAGATCTCCGAGGTCCCTTCCAACTTGGTTAATGTGTTTAGGGGATGCCTGCTGCTGTCAGCATTCCAAATAGCATCTGAAAGTAAACCAGAGTCCAAGGCAAAGGATTCCTCAAAGTTACAATTTATTAAGAGAGCCATGTTGGCACATCTGGGAAA